CAGAACCAGACAGTGCTTGGGAGAAGGAGATAATCTGCTCCCAAACCAGTCCCAGTGGGATGCCAATCAGGACTGGCAGATCAAGACCTCCAAGCACGAGTGGAAATCAAATGGAGAGAGTGGTTATAAACATAGGGCTGAAGTATTCCAGCCAGGAGAAATCACTGTCACCCCACAGCATTTAGAGTGGGATTGTGGTGTGTATTTAATAGCTGGACTCTTGGATTTTGGAGGTGTATGGAGAGGGACTTTTTGCAAGAGCATGGAGTGACAGGACAAGGAAGAATGGTTTCCCACTGAAGGACAGCATATTTAGATGGGATAGAAGGAAGAAATTCTTCCCTGTGAGGGTGGGGAGGCCCTGGCACAGTTTGCCTGGAGAAGCTGTGGCTGCCCCATCCCTGGGAGTGTCCAAGGTCAGGTTAGACACAGCTTGGAGCGTCCTGGTCTAGTGGAAGGTGCCCCTGCCCATGGCAGGGTGTGGAACTGGGTGATCTTTAGGGTCCCTTCCAACCTAAACCACTCTAGGATTCTATTCAGCAATTCCACCTTGTTCCAGTGCTTTTTGTACCTGCATTTACTTTTCTTTGCATTCTGTCATTTCCTAATTCTATCGTTTTTTGGAGCAAGTGTGGACAGGTGCCATCATTCCTCCTCCTTTCTTTTACCAACCTGACATGTTCCTGGCTCAGTTGGCCATAGTGTTCCCAGGAGCTCTTCCCTTTACTCCCTTTGGAGCTCTACATCCCCATCACAGATGGCCTCACCTTTGGAAAACACAAACCTCCCTGCACCACCCGAACAACGTGGTATCAAATTCCACATTTAGCTGCCTTTTCCCCTTCTTTCCCTGGGAAACAGGGGTGATGTTTTAAAGGCCACTTGGGTGTGCTTCCCCTTCAGCATCACTTGGGCGTCCCCAGGAGCAGCTGGCAGTTTGGGAGGGCCTGCAAAGCACTGCTGCCAGTGCCAAAAAAATCCTCCCCCATAGATGGTGGCCCACCAAGATGTCTTCAAATGTCCCCTCGCAGCTGGGCTCAGGGAGGCCACCATGACATCCCTCCTCCTCCTCTCCCCATGCTCAGTTGTGCTTCACAGGATCAAATTCCCCCCCAAAAAAAGCTGCCTGCCTTCCTGGGATGCTGGAAATGTATTTCTGGGCAACTGGACTTTTAGAGATACACCCTGCCGCTCTCACGCTGAGGATGCAGCAGCAGCGTGGATTCCTCCAGCTAATCCCTTGCTCTGTGGCAGGTATTTTTCCTTCTTAAGCACAGCCAAACTTCCCAGCAGGATTTCTGTGGAGGCTGGGTCTCCCCAATGCCCTGCACTTGTCTTTCTGAACCATTTTGTACATCAAAACCAGTTGCCTGCCTTCATCCCAAACCCTCCCTGCGTCCCCATCCCTCCCTGAGCTGCTCCTTGGGCTGGGCCCCTGTTCAGCTGGGATTCTGGGTGGGACGGGACCCACTGGAAATCTGTGCCTTTCCACCAGCTTTTTCTTCTGCAAGACACACCGGGAACAGGCAGGAACTAATTTTATTCTCTGTATTTTGCATCACTCCCTCTGCCCAATCCTATTTTTTCTTCCCCCATCCACGCTCAGTGACTTATCATAAGCTGATTTGCTTCTCATTGTATTTTTTCATCATTATTCTTTTATCCCAAACTTCGTCTCGCTCATCCCCTCATCCACATCTGCACCAGGTATTTAAAGAAACAATTTGTCAACCTTACCTAACGCAGCCTGTACCTCTTGGGGAAAAGTCTCTGGAACTAAGCAAAGGTACTGGAGAAATCCAGCAGCCCAGTTCAAGACCCGACGTGGCAGCATCATTGGAAGTAAATTTGGCACTCACCGATGGCAGGAGCATCTTCCAGAGGGAAAAGCCTGCTGGTATTCAGGGTGTGAAATATAATCTGGAATTTCCTCTCAGCATCCTGCACATCAGCAGCACCAAGGAAATATGAACTGGTCTGGAAAGGACTCCCCAGGGCAGTGAAAATTGCAGCTGACTGGGGCATGAGTTTTTATTTTAAACTAAATCCTGACCTTTGGATAAAGTCTGGGGAAATAAGGTTTATTTGGGGATAGGCTCAGGGACACCAAGGTGACTGTGTCGTGGTTGGCCACCACACCATGATCACCCTGGCATATGTAACTGTCCATCCAGCCCCTTCATCCGGTGTTCCCACAGTCTTAGAGTCATGGAATCATGGAATAGTTTGGGTTGGAAGGGACTTTGAAGCTCCTCTCATTCCACCCACTGCCATGGGCAGGGCCACCTTCCACTAGCCCAGGTTGCTCCAAGCCCAGTCCAACCTGGCCTTGGACACTTCCAGTCTGCTTTGTTTGGCTTCAAAGATGGCTTTTAGCCATTTTTGGAGCCTCCTGAAGCCCATCTTAAGCCGTTTAAGAACCAAAATGGCCCTTTCTGAGCAAACCCTCCACTCCAGCCACAGGACACGACGACAACCTATGGACACACCACAGAACCTAAATCAGGTCATGAACTGAACATGTAACAACACATGGCTTCATTTTTAGTGTAGGACCTGCCCATTCATCAGACACAAAGATGCTGTTTCCAAAATAACACTCATTTTAAAGCCATGCACCATCCTGATAGTGCTTGTCACTAATACATCCCATTCTCCCTTTCCTCAGCAGATTATTAGAAATTTCTTTTTCACCAGGTCCTATTAAACGTGGTGTTATTTTAAACACCTGTTTTATGAGGAGCAGCATCCCACGTTGGTCAGAGGGATATCACACCTCGGTGCCTGCACAGGTGTCTGCCTCTGATCCCTACATCCCATGAAATTCCCCCCAAAGGAATAGCTGGGCAATAATTAGTGGGCTAATTAACATGTAAAATGACTGTAACTGTCTAAAACTGCTGAGAAAGCAACAGAAGGGGACTGGAATTTCTTTTTTCCCCTGCCAAAATTTTTATATGCATTTAAGCAACTTCAGTTAGCGTGTTTTTCTTGGAAAGTTTGGGGTTTTCCACCCAAATTCTCCCTCCATGAAAAAAAAAAAAAAAAGGAGTTTGCTGTTGTCAAAAATGAAGTGCCTGAAGTGCAGGATTTTAAAGGAAGAAAACAACAACAACCCCACAATGTATAATGAGTACAGCTCCTGCCATTCACAAAGGACTCGGTGTAGTTTGAAAAGCCATTTTCAACTGGAAAAAAATGCTTCAGTGGGAAAATTTCCACCCACTCTGGTTGCATCTTTTCCCTCCAGCTCCAAGAGAGAGGAAGGTTTTCTTCCAGAGGAGGGTGGTGATGTGTTTCCATGGATGGACAAGAAAACGCATCAATAGAGATAAAAAACAACTGAGTGGGAAGACACAGCCCAAAACTTCCTACTGGGTGGGCAGTGAGGCAGGGACTGAGCACAGCCAGCCCTTCCAGGGGGGATGCACAGCCTAAATCCTGTGGGTTTCCACTGTACAGTTTATTTTTTTCCTTGGAGTCCTGGCTGAGCTGGGTCTGTAATTCAAGTCTTGGCTCAAAACAAGCGCTCCAGTAACGCTGCTGGCGATGGCAGGATGCAAATCTGAGCCGGTGTGTGATTTTTGGGAAGAGCTGTGTTTTCATACATCACCCAGATTTTGCTTTATAAGCACTTGTGAGCATCTTTTTAATTATTCTCTAACAGAGCTCCCCCTTTAATACCTTGTGTACTAACACAGGGGTGTATTAACACGAATAGATAGGTGTGTCAGGCACAGGGACCTGCACAGACACCCCTGCAAATACTGGGCACATTTCGTGCCAAGGGGATGCACCACCGGACCAGGACCACTCGTGCTCCAGAGGCACGAAACGCCACTGCCTGGGGAGGATTCCACATCTCCAGCGATCCCAGAGGGGAAAAAAAATAATATCTGCGGACTAGACCGGTGAGGGCCTCCCGGTGGACTGGGAGGACCCCGCTGGGATGCTGTGTTGGAAGGGAGGGGATCGAGGTGCGCCGCAGCCCCGCTGGATGGGGATAGAGCCCGGACCGCTGCCATAAATCCCGAGCGCTGCCATCCCCCCCGGAGCGACAGCACGGCCTTTTCATGAATAAATAATCCGTGTTGCAGTTGCGGTGTGCTGGACCCGGCTCGGAGCAGAGTCTGCCCGGAGACCTGGCGGTGGCGGAACGAGGCGTTTGGCCCTTTCCCGGTGTCCACCCACCTGCCAACGGGGCCCCCCGGCTCTGGCGGGGGATGCTGGCCCCTCGTCGCACCCGAAGAGCAGCGGGGGAGCGGCGGGAGCGGGGAGGGGGAGAGACGAAGGGATAAATAAAAATCCGGGAGCATCCCGCGAGTCTGCGGGGGGCTGCGGCCCTGCTGGGGTGGGAGGCGAAGGCGACGCAGTTCCTGTCTCTTTAAATCCACCCTGAGCCCGGCGCCGGGAGCTGAGGCAGAGCAGAAAGCCCAGGATCCTGCTCATTAATAAGCGGGATTTATCCCCGTAGGGAGCCGGGAAGGAGCGGTGGGGGGAGGCCGCGGGGCGAGCCGAGGCCCCTTTGCACCCCCGCAGCCCCTCGCCCCGGCATCCAGCCTCGCCGCGAGCATCCTCCGGCCGGGATGCGGGATCCGCCGGGCGCGGCGAGCGGGTCCCCCCGGGAGTGAGGTTTGCGGCGGGGGAGCGGCGCGGGGGAGGCGGCCGGGGGAGGGTGTGCGGGGCGCGGGGCGTGCGCGGTGCGGGAGCGGCCGGGGAGCCGTGCGGGAGGGCGGCGGAGGAGGCACCGCATTGCTGCTGCTGCTTCTGCCGCTGCCGAGCCCCGCGATGCCGCCGCGCCCGCCGCTGCCCCCGGCCCTGCGCCCCAGCCAGCCCGGCCGGCGGCGGGGGGCTCCACGGGGGCTCTGAGCATCCCCCCGCCCCCGGGGCTGCCCAGCGCTCGTTTTTTCCTTTTTT